GTCTCCCAAACTGGTCCCTGGAAACCCTGGGGCCAGTTTAAAAGACAGCACTTCGAATTGTCTCCGGAAATGAACTTCTGCAGATGATACAACACTGAAATAATGTTCTGAAGAAAGTAAATTCTAGTCATTGTACTGTTATTTGTATTTGCACTATCATTGACGTTTCTGAACAAGGTATGCGCAAAGAGAGCACCTTGGAGTAATAACCCCCGGAACAAGCTCATGTGCAATGCATGCCACCCTCTGATTGCCACATTTCCTGTACCCCTTGCCTTCCCCACTCCTCACCCCACTGTCACGTGAGCTGCTCCGTTCCCTCCTTCCCTCAGGTTCCAAAACTCAAATCCTTTGGAAATGCAGTTCTGTTCTTGAGACTCCAACCAATAATAGAAAAGTTGGAGCTCTAAAGCACCTTCTACCAAAGCTGAAAAAAGAAGCCTCTGCTGATGTTAAGACCTGACTCTAAGCTGGAGACTTCCTCACAGTCCCTCCCACCATCAGGGTGGCCTTCGCTGCTGGGGAGCAGGGCAGCATGGGTGGCGGCACCTCTCCAAGCAAGCAGCTCGTTTCTCCCAGTGCCTCCTCTGGGTCAAGGACTGGGTCTCACACCTGCTCCCCTTCTCCTTCTGAAAATCCTTCTGCCCTGTCCAGAACAGGCCAGTGCAACCTGAGGCACTTCATTGGGAGCGGTGGAAGGAACTTCAAAGGTTTGCTGCCCCCCCCCCGCCACTGCTGCTCCTCCTGTTCTGAATCCAGCTAAGATGACTCCCCCTGAACAGCCTGCAGTGTGCGAGAGCCTGGCCTGCTCTCTGCAGGCCCTCTGAAGAGCCACGCTCACCACCCTGGTTGGCACAGCTCTTCAGAGCATGGCTTGCAGACAGGCCCACGTGGCTCGTTTGGGGAGGTCCTGCCTCAGATCCAGGAGTGGTGGGAAGGGTGCAGCACCAGCAGTCTCCTGGGGCTCTCCTCGCACAGTGCCTGAATTCGAGGGTGGCCCTTCTCCCTGCCTCTTGGGCCATCTGATGTTGCCAATGCTAGAGCTGGCCCTACCTAGTCTGTAAGCCATTGACTGGGAGCAGCCTCATCAAGTCCAGCTCTGTTCCACCTGAGGCTGCTTGGGGAAAAAGAATGCCCATCACTGAACATGCTCATTTCCATATGTCTGTCAACACCCCCCAAAAATCCAGCTTAGCAATAAACACCGATAGTGACTTTTCCACCTAAAAATACCATTTTCAGTTATTGAAAAGGTGTTTCTGATTCTGAGTCATGCTTATAATATACCAGTCATGACCTGCAGTTTTCTATGTAAATATGTAGAATTTTTCAGCTATAAAATTTTAATTTAAAATATTGCTAATTCCACATTCTGTTAGAACAGAAAAGATAGCTGTGTGGTATAGTGGTTAAGAGCACAGGACTGGGACTCAGGCAATCTGGGTTCTGGTCCCATTCAGCCATGGAGCCAACTGGGTGGCCTTGGGCCAGTCACAGACTTTCTGCACAGCCTACCTCAAAGGGTTGTTGTTGTGAGGATAAGGAGTGAGAGGAGGAGGAGAATGATGTAAGCTGCCTTGAGTTCTTTGTAAGAAGAAAGGTGGGATATAAACCAAAGGAAGGAAGGAACATCTTTTCCCCTCTCCAGATGAAGGTCTTTGCTGTCTGTATATATCAGAATCATCTCATTACTAGGAAGGCATGGGGGACAACAAGCCAAACTTTGCATTGACTCATCTATTTTTTTTTCTCTTTCTTTTTTTAATAAATGAATGCTGTGGGATGTTTTAATTACCATATATGGGAAACTGTCTCTGAACAAATGGAGGTGATTACTTTAAATGAAACTGGCCTGTGCTTACTTGATAAACAACTTAATTCCTCAGGAACCCCACTTTCAAGCCTACTTGTTTTGCAACCCATACGCTCCATATTTGTATATGAATAATATTTGTATATTTTTTTTGACCATGTGCCAGTGTCTGATATTTTGCATTTTACAAACAAGTCCATTGCTATACAAGTGACCTGGCTGCAGACTTGATTATAACTTGGAGCTGTTTAGAGAAAGGAATTCTGCTAGCAGTTAAATGTCTGTGCGTCTCTAAACGGGCTTTCTGTTGGTTCCCAGCAAGATTAGCAGAGATCCGTGCAAAAGCCTGCCTTTTCCCCTTTGATCCCATAGTATTCCTAATAGAAGCTTTCTTGCCTCCGGTAAACATTAGTACTATTTATCAAACTCATCAAGCATCTATTTTGGAGGATTTCAATCTCATCTGTTTTCTTACTTGCTGAAAAGATTTCAGATGGAGATTTATGGTTTATTGTGATCATCCATTTAAACTTTGAGACTAGAAGGGCTGCTCTGAATGTGATGCTTTTAATCTTGTTCATCCTTGGGTAAACTCAGTGTTGTTTTGTGGATCTCTCATCTCATTCCTAGAGCAGCTCCAGACTTATATGGCAAACACAGTGACGTTCACAACAAATTGCGAAAGCTTAATAACATAAACCTTCTTTATGCATGTATAGTTCACATGCCTCTCATTGCATTGGGGCGAATGGGCCCATGGCCACTGGTCTTATGCTCCCCCATGCCACACTTTGGTGATCAGAAAGGCTTGAAGCAGGGAGCCTGCCCTACACTTGAGGCTCCCTGTGCAATTTGAAGCACTGCATGATCACGGTTTTGCCTTCCATGGCAGGCGTTGTGTGTAGAACAAGCATCTGCGTTATGCCTTGGCCGCCCCGTCCATGGGGAAGGTCACAGGGCTGAGCAGTGTGGACATGATGGAGGAGGCTGTGTTACTCATTGCAAGAGTTATCAAAGCCTGGAGAGCTTTACACAGCTCTGAACCCAAGTCTGTTAGCGGTTCCTCTCTGCTTAGGCAAGGTTTCTGAGCTGAGCTGGGCTAGGCTGTTTGCTGGAGAGTTTATGCAGTCTCTCTGGCTCCACAGAACTATCTGTAGCTCAGTAACATGCCACATCACTTGCCAAGAGTAGATGGACAGTGAAATGTATCTCATAAAGGGAGGGTTGCTGTTTCTCATGTAGAAGCCAAAAAATCTAAAATAATCCTCCAGTATTTCAGTGACTTTTCTGATGATAAAAATGCATGAATTTCTCCACATACGATCAGAACAAAAATGGAGGCTACTTCACTTTATCATTGCGCACTAATAAAATCATAGAGTCATAGAAAAGTCAAGTTGGAAACAGCGAAGAAGGCCATTGGGTCCAATCCTCCATTGTTGCAGGACACCAATTTACACCATCCCACTCAGATGGTTGTCCAGTTTCTTTTTGAATGTCTCTTGTGTGGGAGAGCCCACCATCTCTCTAGGCAGCTGGTTCCATTGTCATATTGCTCTGACAGTGAGGAAACTGTTCCTGATATCTAGCCTGAATTGGGTTGTCACAATTTGAATTAATTATTCTGTGTCCTACAGCAAGAAGAAATCTTGATCTTCCTTTTTGTGACAACCTTTGAAGTACTTATAGAGAGATATCATGTCTCCCCCACCACCCAGTTTTCTCTTCTCAAGGCTGAACATGGCCATTTTTTCAGTCTCTCCTTACTGGACAGTGTTTCTAGACCCTGGATCATATAATAATAGTACTCCTCAGAGACCTAAATCAGACTGTCTCCTTAGGAATATGCCTTGCATTTTGGTCTTCATTCTGAAACTTTCTAACCTTTTAAATGTTGATAGACCATTGTTTGTCATTTCCCCATTCCTGCTCTTTCCCTGCCATGCATTTCCAGTGTTACTTTAGGCATAAGTAAAAGAAGGAAAAGGTGGATCAAGAAATGTGGGAAAGATTTATCATGAATAGAATCAGCATGTTATATGCACAGCAGCAGATTCCATTAACAACGTAGATACTCCAAGTTCCTGACAAATCTAATCAATGCAAATCCCCTTTCCCAGTTGGGAAGATTTCTTTGGATTTCCCACAGTCCAACATGCACATTCTTTGATTTGTGAAGTTCCATATTTTTATTGCCTTCCATGCTGATAAATGCCTGTGTCAAAGGTGTGCCAAATATCCCCCAATTTTTCAAGATCATTTCTTCTCCGTGGAAGTGAAGAGGGGATATTCAGTAACCGTTGGGGAGTGTGCGGAATTCATGAGGTAGTCTTGCATTAAATCTGAAGTGGTTGAAGATTTGTTGGTGGTGGTGGTGGTGGTGGAGTTGCTGTTTCTGTGTTCCTGGGGACAGAATGCCCCTGGAAACATTGCTGCATCATGACATACCAACATCTCCAGGGGCATTCTGTCCCCAGGAAGACTACCCCTGAAGCAGTGTCAAAACTCCTTCTTTTTGTAAAGGGAAAGGAGGGGAAAGAAAGGGGGAAATCTCTCAGACACCTCATATTGAGGTAAGACCAGAGCTCCTCCAAAACTGCTTAGACTTTCACCGTCCCCCTGAAGATCGATCCAGCCCAGCATTATGCTCTGCACATGCAATGCCCATTTGGCTACAGAAAAAAGAAAGGGAAGAGATTTTCGGCTCTTTTGCAGAACATTTTTCTAAAAGGATGGCTGTGGCACTGTTGTTGTTTTTAAGTGCAAGGTTTCCTGCCTATCATTGAACTTAATAGCATGTGACATTTCATTGCAAAACAGGGATATAATAGTGTATTTAAATTTGCTCATGAACCACAATAGACAGTATGGTATGTTTTGAAAAAGGATGATTGAGATATAACTATGTGAACAGTTCTGTAGTCTAGTTTTCTTGGGTTTGAAGAATCAATATTTGGCTGAAATAATGGAGGAAGTTTTGTCCTGACAATGTTATGTGCATGGTAAGTGCCAGACCTTAAATTCCTAAGTAAATCTAATATAGATTATGAAAATGAAAGGATCAGGGCTCTATTTGTAATAGGTATCAACCTACTTACCAAAAGTATCAGTTATGCATAATGGATTGAAAAAGAATGTTCTTTACTGTTTCTAATAAAATAGTCGCCATCTTTGTTTTCTTTGACAGCTTTTTGGAGACTGCTGCATATTTCTGTATGAAACCAAAAATGGGTGAGAAGGAGGTGTCCCTAAATGCTTTTTTCAGTATTTGGCATGAATTCAGTTCTGATTTTAAAGAGTTCTGGAAGAAGGAAAATAAGCTTATTTTGCAAGAAAGGTGGGTATCTTCATTTTATTTTATGTTTTATAATATTTACCATAGCATTTCTAATAAAGATGCAGAAAAATATCTAATCCTTAAATATCTAAATTTGTCTTGGCATTGCATTGTTTATATACCATGATCACTATAATGGATTATATTTTTTTTAATTTTTAATTCCTTGTCATTTTAGTAACTAGCTACAAAGTCCTCAGATTCTATTGTTTACTACACAGAGCTCCAAATACTTTCCTCCAATACATGCTGTAGAGACACTTTTCTATTATTTCTCCTGTTCTGAGGCCCTCTAGTTCGGCTCTGCTCACTATAATTTTTTCTTGCATCTGGGTAGCTAAAGCTGTTGTGAAATGCACCAGTCCAGCCTCTTGATGTGACACAGAGGTTTGTGTGTGTTAAATGTTACAACAGGTACATCTTCTAAGCCCTATTTCACCTTTTAATGATTTTTAATGACCTCAATGCATAGAAATATGGTCTCTTTCCAGATTCACTTTCTAATGTTTCTAGAAAACTCCAGTTTTAAGAGAAATAAGGACCAGCAGCGGTGTATTGTTTGCTGTGGAATCCAGTCCACAGTTTCAGTCCATAAAAGCTCTATTTTCTAAGTGTTAGGTATGTTTCAGAAAAGTTTTTCAGCAAAGCTTTGTGGAATTTTAGGCTCGAATATAGGATGCAGTGGCTAAGATTTTATTGCTATTAGTTATGATAATATGCTTTATCAGAGTATTATGTTTTACTGCTATATGCTATCTTTATCTTAATTTTACAAAGCATTATCTAATCCTTTAAAATAAACACAAAAAGATCCACTTTCTCTCTGATTCTGACACGTGTGGAGAAAAAACCAATGGAAAGGCCTGTAGCACTTTAAGGACTTTATTATGGCATCAGCTTTTGTAGAGTAGAGTCCAGTTCACCAAGAGGTGGATTCTTCTTCCCAAGAGCATATAGCATTGTAAATGGGCCAGTCTTTAAAGTGGCATAGAATGCATCGATGGTTCTATTGCAACAGATTAATACTGCTACTCCTTCTGCAAGTGTTTACCCTGAAGATGAGGCCCTAAGAACCCATCCTCCGTATTTGGAATGTGTTGGAGTGCATTCCTGCTCTGTTCAGCTCCAGGGGTGAAATCACTCTCAGATATCACTGGATTGCGATTCCATTGGTCTCTCTGTGTTTGGCAAAGAGGCCAAGGGAATCCGTTCGCAACATGGTTGTGAACTTTCAATTCTGCTCACTCCCCATTTGCTTCTGCATGAGCAAATGGTCACCGCCACCTGCAGAGTCCATTCCCTGTCCTGTCCAATGCTCTTATTTGCCCTCTCCACCTTCAGTTGTGGAAAGACCAGCTCTGTATATGGGATAAAGCTTACTGAATCCAAGTAATTTTGCATCTTTAAAAATACTTCCTGCTTTATTAAAGTTATTTGCAATAATCTGAAATGGCTGAAGTTATCAGCCCTGTGGAATAATTGCAGATTGGATAAACAGAAACTACAAATCCAGTGTTATACGAAACTGTCACAAGTTACAGCTGCCTCATTACTGTCATTGTTAAGCCTGGAAAGAAGCCCTTTTAGTAACTAGCTAGTGCTAGATAATCTGCAGTGTTTAAATAGTCCAAAAGAACAGCAAGGAGTTGGCGAAATATAGCTTATAGTATGTATTATGGACAACTTTCCAAATTAGTCTCGGCCTTTTAACCAAGCTTCTTTTCTACAGAAAGTAAATGGGGAGTGTGTCTTCTTGTCCCTGCTACTCTTAGTTATGTTTGTTCACTTTGCTAGCACAAGCAGCAGTTCCCGTGTTTCCATTTCTGGACATTATCAGGATCGGTCAAGCATGGAAGTAAGCTAAGCTCCAAGTCTGCTTCCTGAATGCATCAGCACCAACCATTAATGGACAGCACTCTTTGTGACTTGCAGCTGCGGCCTTCAGGAAGCATTTCAGTTCATACCCTTAGCAAGATAAATGACTTGAAGGTGGGCTACCTTATCCAATGGGGGTGTGGATAAGAAGTCCTTAGCCCTTGGCTTTTTTGTGGTACCATTCTGAGTGTTATAGCGAAACACATCTGATGGACACAATTTTTATTTATTTTCTCGTATTTATGGATAACTTACAGTGTAGAAATTCTAAATGATAAACAATGCATAATTACAAATAGGGTTTTTTTTTTAATCCCTAGAAAGTTAAGTGTAAAAGTAATGTGAGAGGACATGAACAAAGTCACCTTTCTGGCAAAGGTTATTGAAACAAGTAAATTTTCAGTGGGTACTGAAAACTCCGAAAGTTGGTGCCTCTCTGATTCCTATTGAGAGGGAATTCCAGTGAGGGTGAGCTGCAACACAGAAGGCCTGTGAATCATCATAGACAGTTCCTTTCGCTAAGGCATTCCTTCTACCAGTCTGGCAAATTGTGGGTACCCTATTCATTGGCAGTGCTATCTTGAATTTGAAGAGCGTGGTGTTGTCTCTTCATAGAATAACTTCTCAGTTTTCAAAGGTTGATTATGCTTTGATTATGCATGTTTTCAGTCATCTTCCATATTCTATTTATAGGAGTTTTCTTGTATCAGTTACAAAGATGGAGATTTGCTTTGGCCAGGGAAGAGGGGAGCTAAGCCCATTCAGCTTGGGAATCAAGGCACACTGAAGCAGAGCCTTTGGTTCGGAATGAAAGTGGTTAGCCAAGGTGTTTTTGAAATCTTCCACCCAAATGTTGTGTGATCAGCTGAAGTATAAGGAGTCCATCCAATGCTGTGATTTAGCTTCATATTAGTATGAACAATAATGATGATCATTGTTATTTTCAGATGCCTTCTGCACTTCTGCTAAACTTGTATGTAGCTATCCCATTATATCATTATTTAGGAATCAGTTCTCATTTCCTTCCAATCTGTGAAGTCTTCCAGTTTCTCCCCAGTAACACCATGCAAAGCATTAATGACTTTAGTTTTGCCCAGAACCAAACTGTGAGGCTTTATTTCATTGCATCAACACTGTGACATCTTTACGTTGAAGGAGAATATGAAACCAGTTTTAACTGGGCTTGCACCCTTTTCCATTGACATCAGCATGCCTAAATGTTGCACCTGCTGTCTATATTTTAACTTTGCTTGGAAACCTTTGACCCTTTTCTCCTTTGCAGAATTTTATTTTGAATGCAGACTTCTAAAAACAAAACAAAAAACAATTCAATGTGGTATGTGCTGAATCTTTGAGTAACTAGATCTTGCTTTCCTGAACAATGGGTTACATTCCAAGCGTTCATAATACATGAGGGTATCCACGGATTTACTTAGCTCAATGTTGACAGCTATGGAGTGTGACTGTGCTGCCTTCTTTTAGTGGCCATCATTATTCTTCACTGACGAGGTTTCGGGCTAAGAGAGAGCAACATTGCCTTCCAAGCTGATGGCAGGAATCTTAATTGCTCATTCCTAAGTTTTCTAACCCCTTCATCCTCCCTCTACCATTTCTCTTTTGTTTTAGGTGGGGTGTGAATTGAAATGGATGGAAGGTTTTCTTCCTGAAAAGAGCAGCTCTTCTCAAGTTCCCATGAAGGGTGGCCTTGGCAAAGAGGCACCTACCGATCCTTTCCCACCTTCCTTTTCAGTGGGGCAAGCTCAGGAGCTTTGATTTTCTCAGGGACTGCCATCTCTACTTGAGCTTTCAGGAAGGAGAAACAGGCTTAAGTATTGCCTAAGATACCAGAGAGCCATTGAAGTATCTTGGAAAAGCAATAGGGCAAGAATGCAGGCTCTTGCTTATGAATCAAAGCATCTCCTTTCAGGAAATTTACTAGAAAGAGATTCTCTGCCTTGTCCACAGCTGACTTCAGGAGCCTATCAACAGAGACTTCTGGGCATATTTTTATGCTATTTATAGGGTGGTGAAATCTTGAAAAACAAGCTAAGATTGGAGAAGATTAAAATGCCTGAATAAACTCCAATGTTTTTGCCTGGTCCACACACGCACACACACACACAGTGGTATGAGTATGCTCCCTTCATATATTAGGGTGCCAGACTGCTTAGGACTTTTAAAATAAGTGGAGCAGTTCCTTTGGTGACATTTACAGCATTGTCCAGTCTGCTTCTGTGGGATCACCTTCTGTCACTGTGACCTGAGATGGTTGGACAGGATTGAATTACTGTCTGTGTGCCTGTCTCTTTACCATCTTGGTGAATTATATCTAGATGGAGTCACTGGGGCAGTGGGTGTGAGCTTGGGTGGACTCTGAGAGATGGTGGAGGACAGGAGAGCCTGGAGGAATGTTGTCCATGGGGTTGCGATGGGTCAGACATGACTTCGTGACTAACAATGAGGGGATAGACCAAGCATACTCAGGAACTGATTAATGCCTCTATAATACAGGGATTAGTCCCAGCCACCTTGAAGAAATCCGGTTGTGTAACCTGTCCTCTAAAAATCTAGAAGATGCTATCAGTTTGCCCAGAGGAAATGAAAAAAACCCAATTTTGAGCAAAGTTCTCAAGCAGGTCGTGACAGTTCAGCTCCAGGCACAAATGGATGGATAAGATAATCTAGACCCATTTCAGTATGGTTCCAAGCTGTTTAAGGTTTTAAATTTAAGTATCAGCCCTTTGAATTGTCATACCAATGAATATTTTGGAGGTCTAGTTGAAGCGTCTGAGTCATCTTCAGGGACATAACTCATTGCAGTAACGCAAAGCACGAATTATGGTGGCCAGTGTATCCCTGACCAGAAATGTACACAGGTGGTGAACAAATCAAAACTATGCTAGTTTTGCTACCAAACTACCCATGCTACCAAAGCCCACTGAACCTCTAGTGATCTTGGCATTTCTCCAAATTGCATCTCAGGTCTCAGGACAGCTCTGTCAGGAAAGATTGAGCATCAGTTGTCTTGAACTGACAACTGTATGTCCACATGATTCAAGTTTCAGTTTATTGAGCTTTACCCAGACCACTACCAAATCCAGGCCCTGGTTCAGCAGCTCCATTGC